TAAGGATTAAACACACACACAGATAAAACATTCCTTGCCAGGTTTTGATCTGACATACTTTGGAGATGATGGAATGGTGATCCACCAGTGTATTTGCTGAGGGGCAGCTTCTAATATTTGCTTTAAGAATATTCAGTGCGGCCCTGGCTGGTGTTGCTCAGTGGTTAGAGCATTGGCCATGCACCAAAGGGTTGTGAGTTCGATTCCCAGTCAAGGGCACACGCCTGGGTTACAGGTTCAATCCCAGGCCTTGGTTAGGGTGCCTGCAGGAGGCAACCAATCAATGTGTGTGTCTCTCTCATATCAATGTTTCTCTCTCTCTCTCTCACTGCCTCCCTCCATACACACACCCTTCCACTCTCTCTGAAGATCAATGAGGAAAAAAAATATCTTCAAGTGAAGATTAACAAAATCATCATCATCATCATCATCATCATCATCATCATCATCATCAATGCAGAACTGAGATTCAGTTCATACAAATGGAGAAATGGAAACCAAGAATTTCCCCTCTTATTGGTGCTTGTTTGTTGGGACATTTTCCCCTTAGCTGGAAGTATGTTGCTCAACAGAACATGCTATTTGGCTAGGTTACATTTTTTAATGAAATATAATTCACATGTCATAAAATTCACCCTTTTAAATTGTAAAATTCAGGGTGGTTGTTGTTGTTTTTTTTAAGTATATTCAGAAGGTTGTGTAACCATCACCACTGTCTAATTCCAGAACAGTCAAGTTAAATTTTGACTTGAATCTTGGATGAAATATCAACCAAAGGTCAACTCTGAAACTCAGAAAAGTTGTTCTAAGACTTTGGTCCCTTTTGCAAGGGGAGCTGCAGTTTTTATTCGTGTCATTTTTTAAAAAGTGTAATGGAATAAAGAGTCAGGACATTGAATTTTTATTAGGGTTGTTGCTTGATTTCTTTTGTCTGCTACTGGTGATTTATAAACGTTTGGTCTTCAGGTTATAATAAAGAATACTCAGAGGAAAAGCAATAAAACTATCTTTGCTTTCTTTTCTTTCTCTTTGTCAAGCCATGCTTCATTATGACGGGGCTTGGGTTTGTTTTGTACTCTATCACCATCACCTAGCACAGGGTCTGCTATACAGTAGGGGCTCAGCAAAGATTTGCTGAATAAATGGGCTGTGTTAGATACCCAGCGGAGGTCATTTTTGGCATATATCACTCCAAGTAGTTCATGGTGACCTTTGTACTCTGACTTTGCAGATGGCCATGGCATTCATTCATACCCCTGAGATACAGCTGCTTCTAGAATCTGAGAGCTTGACTTCTTCCCCTGTAGTTCTAGGATAGAACTAACAAGGACCCCATCATCCCCAGCTCCCAGGAACTCTCATTCAGCTATAACTGGATTTGTAAAGCCTTCTGGAGTTGTTATGGTGAAACACAGTGTGGGTGGTGTGAGTGTGCGTGTCTTTGAGTGTGCACACATGTGTATGTGCATACTTGCCTAAGCACATGATGGAACTGTGAGGAATTCCTTCATGTTTTTATAAATTGCCCCTTTCTTCTCTCTGCCCTTATAGTTTGTGGGTAGGTCAGGGTGCAGAGGGGCCTCCAGTCTGGGCACATGGCCCAGGCGTGCTGGCATTCAGTGGCCTATTGTTTTCTGCCCCTTATGTGCATGGACAGAGGACTGGGGCTGGCACAGCTGCCTTCTTGGGGACCATTGTTTGTCTTTGCAGCAGCAGCAAAAACCTGAAGCAGCACATTTTACCTTGGACAGAGCAGCCATTCTGTTTTAGGGCGGCAGGCCTAGAGATGGGGGTGGTTGTATTCTCCCTGAAATGTCTGGGTGGATTCCCTGAGGATGGAAGCCAGCGAGGCTTCTCTTTCTAGGCAGGTTGCCGGGGAGGGGAGATGCTCAGTGGTGTCCGATCACAAATCAACTCCAGTGGCAGGTGGTATCTATTAGCAGAGACTCAGTCTTCTTTTCCAGGATCAGGGGTGGGGATATTGCTTTCTCACTTTCCCTGCCCCTGCCCTCTGGGCTTACTGGCAGACCTCAGGGTGTGCTCACAGGACAAGGAAAGCACTTCCCTCCAAAGCTGCCCTGTAGAGTAGACCTAGGAAGCAGGGAAGGGACCCAGTCCTGTTGTGGACCCGCTGAAATGTGGTCTAGTTAGTGAGTCAGTGAGCTAGTAGTCCATACTTGGCTCTGTGGGCCTGAATCACCCCTCAGCTGGAAGGTGGAGAAGGGAATGTTCCAGGGGTGGGAGCTATAGAAGCTGTGATTTATGCAGAAATATCTTCAGATACTCCAGACTCATATTCTATTCTTCTTGTCTCCTTTCCCCATTATCAACCTCTTTGACAAATCAGATAAACCTTAATTTAGCTTCAGCCCCACTGGCACCTCACTATATGACCTTTTTGTAAATTACTTAATGAGTCTTACTTCAGTATTGTCATCTGTGCAATCAGGATAATTGGGGATAATTTAGGGACTAGTTGTGAAGATTAAATGAGATGATGTATATAAAGGGTGTTCAGCAAACACATGTTCCCTTTCCTTGAGGGCCTGGAAGGATGCCTGATGGATCACTTTGGCTCCCACCCCTGGAATGTCCCTTTCTCCATCTTCCAGCTGAGGAGTGACTTAAACCCCTAGAGTCAAGTTTAGACTAGAGCACTGACTCACTAACTAGCCCATGTTTCAACTAGGATCACTTTGTTGTGCGGCCCTTCATTGAGACACCTGAGAAAGTTCAGGGTGGAGTGCCGTGCTGGCTGGATGTGCGTGGGGGCTTCTTACGTTAATTCACGTATCTCAGAGGCCTCCTGAAGTGCTCATTCCTTAGATAAGACAGCCTTGGAGTGGTCCACCTCTGGAACATCATGAGTATGAAACGAATTTGCCTAGCTCCCTTTTTCTGTAGTGGAGGGTGGGCATCATCCATTCCACCATGTTTCTTTCTGCTCCCATGGCAAAGTCTTAAATAAATTACAGGTGACTCAGAGGGGCCTGTGATAGCCCCATCACTCATTCACATCTTCTTCCACTTCTATTACTGACTGGGTACATTTTCACCCAAAAAGGCCCTGATTCTTATTGAATGGATCAATTGTAAGTAGTATCAGTGGATGTCCTCTCCACCACAATCTGCCCACCCAGTAACTACCATTCCAGCTACGACCTCTGTCTGTCAACAGATGGAAGGGGCACGTATGCCTCTAGGAATAGTCTCAGTAAGGGCTGTTGCCTTTAAGAGGCCCAGAAATCCCTGTTAAGAACTGTATGCCTGACATGCCCTCTGCAGATCTTCCCCCCAATACCCTTGTAATCAGACTCCCAGAAAAACACAGAACAAGAGAGCTTTGATGAGGACGAGGTGCGTGGCTTTTCTGCACAGCCCTCTGTGTGCTCGAAACAATCCTACAGTGCTCAGTTTCAGTTCAGGTGAGGTTACTGCAGACCTGGTTGGCATTGGTGGTTGGCCAGGGGGAGGCATGTGGACAAAGAGGGTGAGAACAGCACTTACAGATCACCTAAGATGACCCGTAAAGGATCAGATACTTGTGCTACATCCTGGTATCTATGAAAATAGAAACAAAATGAAGGTAGGGATAGATTATGGACCCCTACCTACTTTAGGGAAAGTTCAGTGCATCATTTATCCATCACCTCATTGCTTCATAAAAGGAGTGCTTGGCATAGCTTTCAGCATCATAGCCCTGATCTTGGTTTATCTCTGATTTAGTCACAGCTCAGATGAAAACTGTAGACCTCCCTGCTCCATGCATTACACAGCATAGACAGAAAACATTGTTATCGTTCTGCTACCTGGGAATGAATTTTGAGCATGCATAAGGAAAGGTATAATAATATAGGTACTCCCGGGGTTGGAGTCACTGTCACATCCTAATGCATTGAGCTGAGCAGGCTTGGAGGGGAAAGGGATGAAAGAAATGGCTCATTGTTACTCAGATGGGGATTGGGACATAACTTCAGCAGAATATGCACTTCAGGCTTTCTCGAGCCGACAAGCAGTCTGGCTTTGGCAAGCTGCTTCCTTTGGGTGCCAGGTCTCCTGTCAGTAACAAATGAGTATTGCATTTGAGGCGGATCTGGTTGCAGCTGGAGCTCCCATTGCTGCAGTTCCAGAGAGGGTGTTGGTTAGCTCTGTACGAGGACTCTGGCCAGCCAGAAATCTGCCAAGCTGGAGCTTAACCAGAAATATTTCTAGCTTTGACAAAGCAGGGGTTCTGAGCATCAGTGGGGGTGAAGCAACAGAGATATGAGTGATATTTGTTGGTGAAAAAAATCAGCTTCTTGAAGGCTGATTTACATTCTGTGATATTGGACACTATGGACTCTGCTTGACAGTGGATGGTTTACTTGCCTAGAAGTCACGGTGCTTGTTTCATTCTTGATTGACACTATTTGACCTTGGGCAGGGCCCTTTCTATCTCTATGAAAATATCCCGACCCTCACCCTAATTCACAAAGATGCAGAAAAACATTTTGAAATGATGGGAGAAAGTATAACAAGCAGGAGCTTGGGCTCTGAAGTCAGTTTGCCTGAGTTTGAATCTAATAGCTTGACTTCTTTAAGAGTCAGTTTTCTCATCTTAAAATGGAGATGAAAGTAGTACCTACCCAACAGAATGGTTGAAAGGAAATTCATTAGGCTTTTTGCCAGAAGACCCCAAAATCTGGCACTGTGCCAGAAACACAGTAAATTGTTCAATAAATGGTAGCTCTGAACATTATTATATCTAATAAGTACTTTCTCTTAAATGATTCAGCAGATTCCTGGTTCCACTGTTTTTCAGTAGTCTGAAAATAGTTGGTGGAGTTTAGGCTGTGGTGGCTGCTGCTTCTATTATTGTTGTTGTTGTTGTTGTTATTGTTATTATTAAAGGCTTTAAGTTCCCCTGAGGACAGGGATTAAGTAAAAGGAGGGGTAGATGTTGGCATCTGTGATTCTCTTTAGGGATCTCTGTATGACTGGATTGTTTTTTGTGGTTGTAGAGATCCGCACTCAGCTCACAGAGCAGATGAAATGCCTGGACCAGCAGTGTGAGCTCCGGGTGCAGCTGTTGCAGGACCTTCAGGACTTCTTCCGAAAGAAGGCTGAGATTGAGATGGACTACTCCCGCAACCTGGAAAAGCTGGCAGAGCGCTTCCTGGCCAAGACACGCAGCACCAAGGACCAGCAATTCAAGTAGGGACTTCTTGGTTATTACTTTTAATGACCTTGGGAATGGGGTCCCGGATGGAGGGAGGCAGGGTGTGCCATCTACATCCAGTTGGATTTATGAAACAAGTAACCCCAAGACTTCAAACTGGCTGAGGGTTGAGAGCCCTCAAGGACTTCTCCTTTTCCAGATCAGCCTTACATGCAGTTCAACACCCAGGAGAGATCATAATAGATAGTGAACCATGCTAATAACAGCAAACACTTTCATAGCCAAGCATAGTCTAAATGCTTTGCATATATGTTAATTCACTTCATCTCCACAAAAATTCCATATTTGGTTATTGTTATATCTTAAATTTCTAGATGAGGAAACTAAGTCATAAAAGGTTAAGGAACTTGCCCAGTGTTTTAAGGAACTTTCCCAATGTCCGAGCGCGCACGCACACACACACACACACACACCCCACCCCACCTCACACCCCTATAATAAATAGAGCTGGAATTCTCAGCCAGTGTGGTTCTAGAGTCTGTATTCTATTTTTTGTTTGTTTGTTAATCCTCACCTGAGGATATTTCTCCATTGATTTTTATGTAGAATAGAAGGGAAGGAAGAAGGGGCAGGGGGAAAGAGAAACACCATGTGAGAGAGACACATTGACTGGTTGCTTCCCACATGGCCCTAGCAGGGATCGAACCTGCAATCCAGACACGTGCCCTTGACCAGAAATCGAATTCACAGCCCTTTGGTCTGCAGGCCGATGCTCAGGAACCAAACTGGCCGTGGCTAGAGTATGTATCCTTAACCATTTCATCAAACTATCTGTAGAAGAAACAAATGATGTTGTAGCCATATTTCTGTATTGCTGCCCAGATACTTGCTAACATCTATTTCTTCTACGTTTGCAGTATTTTATACAACTGGCCCCTTCACTGTATTCTCATTGCCATTGCCTTATTTTAGATCATCATCTTTGCTTGAACAATTATAATACTTACTGTATCATCTACAGCAAAGGTCCTCAACCCAACTGCACATTAGAATTCCCTGGAGAACTTTTTAAAATGCTGAAATCTGGGCCCCACTCCAGGCCAGTTAAATCAGATCTGGGAGTAGGGCCTGAGTAACGGTATGGTGTAAAAGCTTCCCAGATGATGCTAATGGACGACTAGTGCTGAGGACCTCAGTCTACAGCTTCTTTCCATTCCAGTCTGCCTGGTCCACTATTATCAGATTTAGTCTTCCTGGAACACACTGGAGATCTGGCAGTTTCTCTGTGCAGTGGCTCCCCACTGTCTGTGTATCTAAAGTCTTGATACTCAAGGTGTGGTCTTCCAATATCAGCAATACCTAGGATGCTGGAAATATAGAATCTCAGGTCCTACCTCCAGATCTACTGTAACATGATCCCCAGGTGATTTGTGTGCACATTAAAATTTGAGAAGTGTTGCTCTAGTCGCAAAGGTGAACACTCACTCCTTGGCTTAGTTCTCAGGCCCCTCTGTATCTGACCCAACTAGCTTTTCCAACCTTATTTCGTGCTTCTGCTCCACTGTACCTTAGCCAAACAGAACGTTAACTGCGATGGGCCTTTGCTCATCCTGTTATTTGAGCTTATGTGTCCATTCTTCACATCTTTGCATGTCTAAGCCACCCATGGTTTTAGACCCACCTCAGATGCAATTCCAAGAAACTTTCCTGTCTCTCCCAGAATAAAAGAATGTTCTGTCTCTTCTGAATTCATACAGCATTTTAGTTGTTCTTTTATTAGGATGTTCAGCACTGTCTGCCTTATATTTTCTTCTCTTAGTGGACTGGATAAACTTTTCTAATTCATCTTTCAGTTTTCCATGGTGCCTAGCATAATATGAGGTATAAAACAGATGCTCACTAAATATTATTGGATAAGTAAATGAATGAATGAATGTAAGAATTAATGCCAAGTATATCTTTCCCTGTTTTCTATTTTTATCACCCTAACAATTTGGGAAACAAATGTCCTTTACAAGCCAGCTCTGAGCAATAATATGGAGGCTAAGACTGAGGAGAACATGTGACACTCTCAGTCTAGCCAGAATGAGAATTTCCTCCAGATGTTTTATCCTCAGAGTCCCTTATCTTTCCCAAGTCCTGTTCTCTTTATGATAAGCAATCCTGAGAGAATAAAATGTTATTTTAGTATGTGATAAATGAAGATCTGGGGTAGATATCATTTGCTTTAAGAAAAATTATTCATAGTTGGATTTATTCAGTTAATAAGCTCCTCCTAAGTTGGAAAATCACTTTATTTTTACTAGTATATCATATTCTCAGCTTAAGGTCATATTTACTACAAATTAAGGTACAGATGTGCTAAGCTCTAAATCATCTGAATTGCTCTGATTAAGATCACAAACAAGGAATAGGGTGTTTTCTCCAAGGCTGGAAGAATTGCTTTTCGTGATAATGCTGGTACCTGGCTTCATTTTCCCCCCAGACAACCATTGAGTAGTTACTGAGGGCCAGATATATGCTTCATATCATACAGGTATTGGAAGATATAAGAAAAGTTTATTGTATGTATCCAGAGGGGGGGCCATATCTTGTGGAGAAAATATTTTTTAATGCACGAAGCATTTAAAGGATAAGGCAATAATGATCTCATTAAGAGATCATTTGTTTTATGTACAATGTAGATATGATAAGAGGTCAGAGATAAATCATCAGAGACAGATAAAGGATCTAGAATAGTCAGGAGAGTTTTCTACAAGCAAGTGAGATTTTAGGTTAGGCTTTAAAGATGTGTGTAGTAGAGACCAGTATTATAGGTAAGGGAAGTAGGAATGTTTGGTGGTAAATGGAGTATAGGGACTAGTGAGGAATCCAGCTTCATTAAAAGGGAGATTCTTATACATTCATTCAACAAATGTCCGTTATACATTCCTGGAACTCCTTTAGGCCAGACATTGTGTCTTGGGACACAGGAGTGAATAAGCACTGAGTCTTCCACATGGCACTTAACCATAGAATGAGGAAGCAGGCATTAAACAAATCACACAGTTAGATGAGTTGAGGTAAGTGTTGCGAAACTGAAGTACAAGGTGTTGCAAGAACTTGTAAGAGGAAGGTGTCTCCATTTTTTTGCTGTCACTTTATGGCTAGTTTACTTTAATAGCTTCCTGTTTGATCTTATCCTGAGGAACAATCTACTTATTCAACAAACCCCTTATAAATACTCACTGGGTACTGTGCTCTGTTCTGATTCCTGTGGAGACTAAGATAAGCTCTAGAATCTTGGCTTACAGAGAAGAGAGACATGTAGACAACATAACATGGAAAGGCCTTCAATAGAGGTATGGGCAAAATATGAGTACACAGATATTTTTCAAAAAAAGTGGAAGATAAGATTAGATAAGTAGACACCAAATAATAGCTCTTTGACAGACAAGCAGAGGAGTTTAGATTTGATACGCATTGTGGTAGTGAGCTCTCTGCGTTCTTGTGTGGGGAGAGAGACATGAGAAAGTTGGTACAAAAATGAATTTTCATGCCAAAGAAGGCCAAGATGGAGGTGTGGGGAGGGCAGTAATTTATGCATAATGTGATCGCAAAAAAGAGTGAAAGGGAAGGAATATATTCAAGAAGTATTCTAAAAACTGAACAGGACTGGGTAACTGATTAGATAAAGAACTGTAATGGTCGGAGGTGACCCAGTGTCTCTAACCTGGCAATCTGGAAGAATTATGGCATATACAATAAAAGTAGGGATGTTGAGCCCTGGCCGGTTTGGCTCAGCGGTTAGAGCATCGACCTGCGGTCCTGAGAGACCCGGGTTCGGTTCCCGCTAAGGGCATGTACCTCAGTTGCAGTTTGTCCCTGGCCCTGGTCGGTCGTGCGGGTGGCAGCCACTCGATGTGTCCCTTTCATGTCGATGTTTCTCTCTCTCTCTCTGTTCCTCTCTCTCCCTCCCACTCTACCTGAACAAAAAAATGGGAAAATGTCCTCGGGTGAGGATAAAAAAAAAAAAAAAAAAGTAGGGATGTTGAGGAAAGACCTCTGTGAATGTGAACCGACTTTGGACATGTTGGCTTTGGGGCAGTGGGAGGCCTTCAGGCATTCAGATGGAATGTTGTACTTCTAACGTAAGAGGTTATAATTGGAAATAGCTAGCATAATCTTCAGTATAAAACTGATTGTGGTAGATATGAAAGTATATGAACTCAGAGAAGAGAACAAGCTTAACAAGAGCTAAAATCAGGGCCCAAAGTTTGGTCACACCCAATGTTAGGGAGGAGTAAAAGTTACTACTAGAAGGGGCAGGGAAGGAAAAGGGAAAGGGGAAGAAGGAAGGAGAGAGGGAGAGATTTATTTTTTAAGCATTAAAAGGATAGAAGGTGAGGTAGGATAGTGTCATCGGCTGGAACTAGAAGATCTGTGATAGCTAATCCCGGTAGTTTCTTACAGATACTATCCCGCGTAGAAGGCATCGTGAGAGATGCGAAGATGACTCAAATGAACTCTCAATTTTTTTTTTTTTTTATCCTCACCCGAGGACATTTTTCCACTTTTTGTTCAGGTAGAGTGGGAGGGAGAGAGAGGAACAGAGAGAGAGAGAGAAACATCGATGTGAAAGGAACACATCGAGTGGCTGCCACCCGCACAACCGACCAGGGCCGGGGACAAACTGCAACCGAGGTACACGCCCTTAGCGGGAACCGAACCCGGGTCTCTCAGGACCGCAGGCCGACGCTCTAACCGCTGAGCCAAACCAGCCAGGGCTGACTCAAATGAACTCTAAACCTAAGAGCTTTCAATTAATTATAGTATAACACGAAATTGCTGGATTTTGTAGGTCAAAAATGGTCACATGGTGGCAATTTCATATGGTCAGAAGTAACCCAACCTCTCAGCCTATTATTAGAAGAGGAGGTGAGACAGACACACAAATGCATTGATTACAGGCAAGAGGGTGAGAAGCTCAGTAAGCGAGTCTAGGCAACATCCCACTTTCATACATAATTTATTCCTAAATATGAACAGAAAAGTC